GAGCTAAGCCTCGCACAATATCCCTTAACACCACTGCTTCCCACTGCTTTTCACCTGCTCCGCTTGAACACACATCTCTCCCACCGTTCGTTCCAACTTCTTCACCTCTTGTTTCCCACATATGCACCTATCCCTCTGTCACAATCGAATTATGTCCTGTAGTAGCCGGATTAGCGTATGCGAATCTGGCCAGTCGCTGCTGCGTAATGGTTTTAAAAGACATAAGCGTCCCCCCATCAATAAGCATTTGGGCAGAAATTTTTCATGAAATAGAAAGTGAAAATAGATGGGTGATGGGTGAGCGATGAACTTGTGATCCCAGAGAACAATACCAACGTACCGTGCGAGTAGAGGTCACCTTGTGGAACACAAAGGTCATCCCGAGCAGAAGCTCGACTGCGCCTTGTTGGTCTGTATCCTCCATACCGTAGCTGCTTCATCCTCCTCTCTTTGCTACGACGATTCTGGAACCATACCTGCAAAATTTTAAAATTCATAAAAGATGAAGAAAAGTCCCGCACAAATCTTTTACCGTCTGTAGGTGACCGAATCCATGAGTTTTTGAGGTCCGTGTGGTAGTTGTTTCTTCTGTAGTAAAATCACTCGCTATGTGAACTAAGTGGATCCTTCGTTTCTTAATGTCATTGATATACTGCTTTAAAAATTACCAATTATTTGTTTTGTTTGCTGTTAACCAAATTCAATTGTAGAGCTTATTTTCGCTCTCTTTCTGCAGCTGCCTTGAACTATTACTTTTTTAACACAAATATTTATAAAATTTCACTAGAAATTTTAAAGGTACTATCTTATCTCCAAAAATTTTCCATTAAGAAACGCCCAAGGGACTTGAAATTATAGTGACAACAAACAGAAATTTTTCTTATTTCTTCACCCACACAAACAATTTTCAACCGGTCCGGTTGTGTTTGCCGTCTAAACAATGGAAAGAAAGAGGTCAGAAAAAAATTGCCTTGAAAAAATAAGAAAAGCATTTTCCAAATTCAGTTTCTTTCCAATTCTATTAGAAAAGTATCTCCCAAACTCTATTTTTCCGGAAAAAAACGAAGTAATTGTAAAAATTGTCTGTGTAAGTCTCAAAACTCAATTTAACAGATCGCCCATGCGGTTACAAGATGTAGTCGTTAAAAATGGATCGACACGAATGACGTAGTAGCAAGCTTGCGCTACTCTCGTGTCAAAGATCGAGGATTAATCTCCACAGTTAAGAAATTCACCCCCTGAACAACAGCTCATTCGCTTTGCTGGTAAATTGGCATTCGCACAAATCTGGGAACCAGATCCGTCCTTAGCTTGCTTTTTAGTAACTTTTGAAAGAGAGAACCAACGGCCCTGCTCATGAGTGGCTGCTGTTAGTAGGTGTCATCGCCTGGACCACCTTAGAGCGTCTTACTTTCTCAAAGAGGGTAGGTTGCAAAGCGTCTTTTAACTTTAAATTTGGCCAAAACTGGCAAGCACAATATTTCGTATTTACTCGGTGTTTAAATTGCTGCTTAGGGCATATGTAAATTTTAGTATTGATACTTCCCGCCGCCGTCCAGGAATTATGTGCCTCTAGAGTGATGGCTTTCAGCGGTTATGAGTCTGAAGGAGTTTTGTCCCGGAGGAGCTTTAAGCTTGAAGAAGTCGTCTTCATGAGTTGTGAACCTCACTGAGTTGTGCCCCAGAGATACGCATCTCTCGCTTGTTCTCCCTTTGCTTAACATCCTCAAATTTGAAAACAGCGAGTTTGTATTTTTCGAAGTTTCGTTTGCATGAGCTCGCAGTGCTTGTGAAGTGAGAAAGCATTTCAGCGTCCCCCACCACCGAGTTAGGCCGCATATTTCATTTTATTTCATAAAGGGCTGTGCATGCCTGTGTGCGTGTGCCTGCCTGTTTATCGGGATTACGGTAACGGTGCTGATGGGGCGTATGGTTAGTGTCCCCGGAGAGGCAGGTGTCAATGCGAGGAGACCAGGAGAGGGAGTGAGGGAGGAAGCGAGCACACTCATTCTGTCTTCTCCTTCTTCGCTAAATGAGAATTGGAATTGAAGCGTGGGCCCTGGCCTAGAAGCTCATTTACTGGTGAACACAACACAGGGCAGACCAAATTTGATCAAGCAAAGGAGGAGGGAAAGCCCGCAGCCTCTCCTCCCCCGTCTTGCTTTGGCCTAGCTGCGCAGCTGCTGGTTGTTGGACTTAAGTAGTGCACGGACAGATAGACTGCAGCGAGCCGTGTAATTTCATGAGCAACTCATTCTGCCGCACCGGGAGCCATCACTCTCTCCCACACTACTCTTTTTCGCATCAACGCCACTCAGATCAGGTCATCGATGATGATAATGATGATGATTACTGAATTAATTAAAATGGATGACCATAATCGTATCATTCTCGCCACCGTCATCATTATTTTCACCATCACTATCATCCAATTATACTACTTGTTTGGTTTTAAAACCTGCTTTAAATTCTGCCTTCCACAGGTCTAAATCTTTTAAATTTACTGACCAAAATTATAAGATGATACATGGGCGTAGAATTTTTAGGAAGCCTACTTGACGTACAGGAAAAGTGATGTAGCCGAACCTGTACATACACTAAGGATTATAAATAGTCACAACAACCGATATCTAAATAATTACTAGGTATTTTTTTGGAGTATCAGAGGAAAGCTTTCTGAAATATTAACGCTTTGAAGGGATGTTAGATGCCAAGCGAATTTAGCGTTCAGTGCGAAAAATAGCAAGAAGTTTTCTTGGACTTCACTGTTCTAAATGTACTCCATCGTACTATGCGCAGTACTGCAATAAGAATCACAATAAATTTTAAATCATTGACGACGCTCACTAGGCGGGCCCGTGCGATCATGCATTTTTGCAGTATTTCGCACTGTAGTAAGATCGCTCGGAATGCCAGCAGCTAGAATTTATGACATCTGATCCTCGAAATTCGGGAAGTTAATTGTGCAACTACGTGGTACTTGAACAAGGAGTATTCCCTTAAAATTTCAGCCTCCCGGCTTTCCTCGTTCCCAAGTTAGCGATTTTTCCGTCAAAAGTTTTCACGGAACTGTACGTGAGATCACGCACTCCTGGGGCTGGATTCGATATCTTTAAGGTGTACGTGGTCTTAAGATTTCAGCCTCTTAAGATTTCAGCCCCCCAGCATTTCTGGTTCCCGAGTTAAAAATTTTCCCGCGAAAAGTTTTGCGTGCTCGCAGGCGGGGACCAGACGTGCTTGAAGATTAGTGTCGCGGTTCTGGGGTGGCAACTGGCCGGGAAACTCACTGACAAAGTTTTAGCGCCGGAGCCTGCTTATCTGTCGAGTTGAAATAGCCGGACAGACGCACACACAACATACGCGCGCA